TCGGACAACCTCGGGTTCCTCATGGCACTTGCCAAGGGAAGCGCAAGGTCTGCGGACCTCAATGTGCTTGCTCGAGAGTTTGCCTTCGACCAGGCGACGCGGGCCTACCACGTGAACGGTTTGGTCCACATCCCCGGCGTCACGAATGTGCAGGCGGACGCCCTTTCTCGCCAGTTCGCTCCTGAGGCAAAACGCTTCCCAAAGGAGCTTCTGGAGGTTCCTCGTGACGAGGTCCTCATCAACGATCACTTCTGGAAAGTGTGAGTAAAAGGTTCGTTGCTTTGCGGGTTCGTGTCTCCTTCTCGCTCTCCCCCCGCTCGTTTGCTCTCTTCTCCGGGGTTGTGCTGTGCTGTTTGGTCACGCGCTTCTGCAGATGCCGCGGCCCAAGAGATCGTACGCGGTAGCCTTCAGGCCCTTAAGTAACCCCACCACGCTTCGAGACCCACCGAGGGCACCTGGCATTCTTCACGAGGGTCCTGCCCTAGGGCGGCCCGACGTGGGTGCGGGAACCCAACTGGGGGGCTTGGCGGGTGCAGGGCCAGAGGCGGTAGCTAGAAACAATGGGGAGCCAAGCGCATATCGTCGGGGGTCGGCGGCCCTGGCCATGGAAGCTTTAACTGACCCCGTTCATTGCCGTTCGGTTTTGCTGGCCGACTCTAGAGCGACCACCTCCATTGGACCCGTTGAGTCTAGACTCAGGCAATGGGTGGCTTGGTCAGTGTGGGCAGGGCTCGAGCCTTATCCCCTAACACCCGACGGAATGTACGTCGTCATGGGTGGGCTCAAAGAGGCAGGCTACCGTTCAGCGATGCAATACCTGGACCTTGCCAAGCAAGAACACGTCCAGAAAGGACACCCATGGACGGACCAGTTGGCTTTAGCGTATCGGGTTTGCTCGCGCTCCTGCAAGCGAGGGCTTGGTCCAGCCAAACAGGCGGCGGCCCTCCCGCTCGACAAGCTGGCCGGGTTAGACCAGTCACGCTGTCAAGTCCCCTCGGGACCGGCGAGGCCAGTCACCTCCACTATAGTGGCGTCCTGGTGGCTCTTACGCGAGCTGGAAGCGTCCCGCGCCAAGGTTCGGCACATTACCCTGGACTTCGGGGCGAAAGTAGCCGCGTGGTTGCTACCGTCGTCCAAGACGGATGTTGCAGCGCTTGGGGCCACCCGCAAGCACTCTTGTTCCTGCGCCGTTTTACATCCAGACCTTTGCCCTTTTCACACCCTAGCGTCTCTGGTGCAGGGAAAGCAACCGGAAGATCCCGTTTTTGTGGACCTGGATGGATGCCCACCATCAAAGCATGGGTGGGCCGACACATTCCAACGAATCGCAGCTTTGCTTGGGCTCCCGTTGTACCATCACAACGGAGCTCGGGCTTTCACTGGCCACACGGCACGCGCTACAGGAGCGCAGTTCCTAGCCTTTAAAGGAATCGAAATTTGGCGCATCCAAATTTTCGGGAGGTGGGGAAGCGAAGTGATTCTCCGATACGTCCGCGATGCCCCTCTAGCACAGCTGAACGAGTTGGCCATCGAGGCTGGCGACAGGGAAACCCTAGCCAAGATTCGCAGCGATCTGGACAGGCTTATGCGAGAGGTCAGACCTTCACTGGCAATCCCCGATTCCAGTTGGCACGTTGAGTGCCAGGTTAGGGGCGCGCCGGCGTCAGGCCCGGCGGCCATCCACACTAGCACGGCCAAGGCCCTCGTCCTCAATACGGCTCGGGGTGGCAAGCTTCACAAATGCCTTAGCGATTTCAGCTCACCCCAGGTGGCGCTGAACCCGAGCTCGTGGCGTACCTGTTGTCTTTGGCCCTTCGCGTCAGGCGACAAATCCTTTCAATGGGTGCCCCTCCGCCATAAAGGCAGGAGATGCAAACATTGCTTCCCCAGCCAGAGGCGGGCTCCGTCGGAATCGGAGTCAAGCTCCTCTTCCTCCTCCAACTCGAGCACAAGCTCGAGTGACTCTTGATACCGAAAACAACCGCGCTAAGCAGGCGGGACGGACATTTATTTGGCAGTTGTTGGTCAGGTCATGCGGGTATCTTCTGCCCACTTGAGTTTGTCCAAGGGCCCTATCGGCTCCTTTTGGACATAGCAAGCGGAGCGACCTCTACGACCAACTGTTGAAAAGTCCGTCTGCTTCGCTTAGTAGATGGTGGTTGTTTGGGGAGCGGATAGCAATTGTCGAGATAAACACAGCCTGCGTCTTGTTGTAGTGACAATTGCGAGCGTGGATGGTGGGTTATTTTAACTGAAAGTATCGTTCGTGGCCATTTTGGTCTCAAGGACGATACCCATCTTTTGCCCACCCGCCCACTCCTGGGTATCTTCTGCCCACTTGAGTTTGTCCAAGGGCCCTATCGGCTCCTTTTGGACATAGCAAGCGGAGCGACCTCTACGACCAACTGTTGAAAAGTCCGTCTGCTTCGCTTAGTAGATGGTGGTTGTTTGGGGAGCGGATAGCAATTGTCGAGCCGCGACATGCTGTGCCCTCATCCGCAGAGGTGGATCGTGTCCTCGCGGCTCTTGAGGACGCATGAGATGTCTTAAGTCGCAAGATCAACGCCTTCATCATCATGCAGCAGGTGCAGTAGGCCAGGTTCGGACAACCCCTGAGAGATGTGGTGGCGCTGCGGAGTCAGACCAGACCAGCCGGAGGTTAAGCGTCAAGCGGCCGTGGGCTGTTCGAGAAGGAGCGCGACAGGAGAGCGAACCGTGCTTTGAGCAAATGAAGGTGTCTCTGTGTGTGTGCATGTGTGCAAAGCCTACGCATAAGATTTCCGAGGCTGTCATCTTCCCTAAACATTTCCTCTATCTTTGCGATTTTCTTCCAGGCCCTCAGATCTCATCAGCCGGATTCCTGGATTCCTCCCTGCTCCAGCTCGAACTCCCCGCCCCTTCATTCCAACATCAGCCATCGGCGACGACGGCTCCCAGAGATGTTTCGCTTTTCGGTCACAGAGTTCTAGGATCCCGGGGTAGTATGATTGGTTGAAGCTGCAGTTTGCTGATAAGCTTCGCAAGGGAAACCTCGGAACAAGTGATATGCGGTAGTTGTTAGTTTCTCTGCGGGATGTCCTGGGCGAATCCGCATGCCTCGAAAGATAAATAGCAAGTGCTTGATAAACGTGTCACAACCCGTAAGCTGCTCTCCAATGCAGATACAGTAATGGCTGTTGCTTACCCGGAGTGTCTGTGTGTAATTCGCAATCTAATTCGGGAGCTTATAAGTATATAGTTAGATAACAGCACATTGACATTATGGTACCCGACAGCCTCTGCATAGATTGGCAACCGCAACATTCCAGTTCGAAGCCGAACCGTCCAGGGGGGCCTTCCATGACCATCCCACATGTTGCCTTTCCTTTCGAGCCATGCTAGCTCGTTTCTTGTCACCGTTACTCTCTGCCATTTCCTTGGCATCGAGACGAAGCGGAGAGCATGAGGCAATGCAAATGCAGCTGCTGCAACACAAGTTTGTCCTCGAAGACGTGGCGGGATGGAAGCTGAAAGAAGCGGAGCCGCTCCACTGGATTCACTTCCCAAAGACCGGCAGCTCCTTCGTCAATGCAATCGTTCACCTGAACGGAGCTTGTCCATCTGTTGCCAACTACGCTCTTAACGAAGACACGGTTGGCAGCGGCACCTGCTGGCTGTCCTACTGGCTTAAGCACATGTGCCCATATGTGTGCCATGCGGACAAGTACGCTTGCCCTCAGCCGTTCCATGTACACCACCCCGTAACCAACTACTCGGCCCAGCGGGGCCACTTGGTTGGAATGTTCCGCGATCCTGATCAGCGTATCCTTTCCGGCTACCATGATGACGATAACAACTTTGCCGGCTACACAGAGGAGCTGTTCAGGCGTGACCTGGGAGTAGAGTGCAGGGGGCAGTCGGGAGTCGTAAAGTCATTGCCGAAGATACCTCTTGCAGAGTTCGCCGAAATGTGGAAAGGCGGTATGACATACCAGCTGGTGACCGAGCATCCTACCACCGTAACTCTGGATCCACGCCGACCCCAGGTGACGCGTCGGGACGCCACTGAGGCAGCACGAAGGGTGCGCGACGGCTTTGCCTTCGTAGGCCTCACCGAGGAGTGGGACCTGTCAATCTGCCTCTTTCACAAGATGTTCGGAGGATCATGCACGCCCTTCGAGTTCGTAAACACGAGGCCCAGCATGGATGGGAAGAGCGCCGACCGAGACTACGACACCTCCCAGCTTCAGGGCTGGTACGATGACATTGACGACGTAGTGTATGCTGCAGCAGTTGACGTCTTCCGCCAAAACCTCATTGTGTTCAATGTCACGCAAGAGACGTGTCAGGAGTGCTACAGCAATAAGAGAGACTCGGCATCCAGGGTGGCAGTCCTGTAGCAGTGGCTGTCTCCCTGGCCCCTGCCACGCACGAATCGCTGCGTTTGCTTGCGCAGACAGCGTTGAGATGAAAGTAACTGCCCAAACACTATGGAATCAATATGAATCAATGCCCCTGCACTCTTGAAGCATTCAGCACGTTTTGCTCCTCCCTGCACTTGGAACCGTGGCCTCACAGAAAATCGCGGCCACGCGCAGCCAAGGTGTGCTTGAGGGTTCGATTCATGGTTGTTCTCTAGGAACCACCTTCGCCCCGGGATATTGAGCTGCTGGGATGTTTTGTTGAAACTTTCGGAGGCTTTCGTCCTCATAGACTACTTTGGATGTTGCACAGCATTCAAGAATGAGGTTGTTGGGTGGGTTGTATGTATCCTAGAGTATCCTAAATACTTATATACACATCCTCGTCCTTAATCTGTCAGGGAGATACGCTGTTCAGGGCGTGCTTCTGAAGCGGAGGGCTGAAAGCTTAGGCAAGGCCTTTATGTTTTGCAGCCTCTGGGCCCAAAGCGAAGCCGAACCGCCTTGCCTGTGTAAGCCAGTGTGAGAAGCCAGAGTTCGACGGGCTCAACATTTTTTCTGGCCCGACATACTTTGGGCATCTTTAGTTGCCTGGCCGCCATGCACAAGACATCCGTGGCCTTGAGACGTGTGCTTGAGCTGTTGGCCGTTGTGGTACTGGCAGTCATAGCTGCAGACTGCGTGGACCATGAAGCTGAAAGAGCCTCAGCTGAAGCTCGTGCTTAGAAGCTTCGATGCTTCGAAGCCTCGCGCTGAAGCAGTCCTGTTCAGTGATTTAGCCCGTTGTGGTTGGCCCGAGGTGTGGGGTGCTCGGAGGTCAATTTCATCCAGTCCCTGTGCTGCAGTGGTGGGGCGGCAGACATACATCTGTTTACACGATGCACGAAAACTTTCGAAAGCTGATGAGAGCTGGAGGCTGAGCGAGGGAAGTAAGGTCCGCGCGAGCTCTCTTCCGCAACCCCGAGCCGGCTGCAGAAGAGCAAAAAGCACCTCAGCATTGCATAGCACCGCGTAGCAAGAAGTCACTTGCACTGCCTCAGACAAGGCGCACTTCGAGAGCTTCAGGGAAGCGATGATGAGGGCATCGCGAAACAGGAAGGAGCTCAAGGAGCTGAGGTGGCGTTTCCTTCGAACCTTTCCTGCGATTCCGATGGAGCGAGAGCAACAAGAGAATCCAAACCCTGGCTGCAGCAACATTGGAACGAGATTTCCAACCTTGGTGTCTCGCACCTTTGCTGCACGGAGAGAGAGAGAGAGAGAGAGAGAGAGAGAGAGAGAGAGAGAGAGAGAGAGAGAGAGAGAGAGAGCCATGGCCAGGCCGGAGAGCACGCCCGTGGAGCAGAAGACCGCATATGTCACCCACGGGGGATTGCACCTGTTATACGACCCAGCGCCAATGGACAGGTGGATTGGAAAAGCAGTGGAACCCTGTGAGGGGGGATACAAAAACCTGGAGACCGAACAGATGCTCGACAATTGGGAGGAGACCGAATATACCCAGTTTCTCGAAAGGACAGTCGAAAGATATAGAACGGGGGGAATGGCAGACCGCCTCGTGAAGATTGTGGACAAATACTTGCCCAAGGTTGCCGACAAAAACCGAGCGTATGTGATGAGATATCCCAGCCAACCAAGAAGATGTTGGCAAAGGCCTGGAAGATCCGCAAGAAGATGAAGGCACAGAAGAAGACAAAGCGCACGGGGGCGAGATCCACGAGTGCCTCGGGGGAAGCAAGCCAAACCAAGACGCGAGCAGAGGGGGTGGTTCAAGGCACAAGTTCGGAGGATCCGGCGGAGGACAGGACTGCTAAGCGTGTGAAAAAAGAGAGCAGTGCGTCGGAGGAGACACCCCCAGACTGGGGAAGCAACCACAGTGAAAGCCCGGAGAAAGAAGAGTCGGGGGAGGACCAATGGCCTTGGGGCCCGGAAGGACGACCGTCCGACAGAAGCCAGGGAACAAAGCCCAACGAGCCAGCGGGGGAGCCGCCGCAGAAGGCCAGGCCATGCACCGCCACGACGAGACCGAGCGAACCTGCGGAAGGACCTCGACAGCCACACAGGGGGGGAGAGAGGCCCGCTATACGCCTCACTCCCAACCTGGCCTGGCAAGTGCGCAGGGTACAGGACCACATGACGGCGCAAAGAGAATGGACTACATCGTCGAGTTCCCGTACTGAGCCCAAACACTGAGCAGGGGGGAAGGCATTTTGCCACCCTTCAACAACAGCGTGTGCGTCACAGTTTTGCAAGGGAGCCGACTGCCAGTGAAGAGTCTACCTGTGTAGTGCGGGGCGTTGTACTCAGGGCTTTTCGTGCTTGCTGCTGGCCCCCTAGCCTGCATGATCTTGGGAAGCCAACTTGCTACCTAAGTAATAGGACGGGCCGCTGAGCCATAACCCACCACAGTGCATGGGCCGAGAGCCCAAATTCAACAGAAACTTTGAGGGGACACACCCACAGCGATTTGTGTTAGAGTTCTAAGGGGCGACATTTGCGGGGAACCCCAACGGGGGGATTATCACTCCCTACTGTTGCCTCCTATTACATTACCTCCTGTAAGGGGAACCCGCCGTCCTCGTCACCTGCACGGTTCCTTGTTCTACGCTGTTGCTTCCTACTGCCCATGCGGAGGACCCGAAGTAGTTGACTAACTTGGCCGATGGGGGAACGAGCCTGTACTTGTGGTACGCTGTCTGCGCACTGATTACCCCACATTCCCTCAACGTCCTGTGCTTAGCCGTGTTGCTGCATAGGGGGAATGTCTGCCGGCCGCGGTGGTTCTGCGTGGGGGAGTGCCTGGCTGGCGAGGGACTAAGGACTAAGCTTAAGAGAGCGCGGAGACGAGGCCGGGACGCGCGTTAATTACTGTAAAGGGAAGGATGGGTTCCTTGCCAGCCGTACTTCACCAATCGCACCTTCCACCAGGACAAAGTTTCCCGACCACTGAAGACCCCAAAGCCTCTTCCACCCCTAAACGGGGAAGGGGGGGCCTGGGCCCGGGTTCGCGTGCGAACCTTACCCCTGAGAAGCGAAGCGAAGCGAAGAGAGTGAAAAATTCAACAGTACAAATCAGTCCTACCGGGACACTAAGATCAATCACTTTCCCCAGTCACACTCAAGCAGACATTCCTTTGTGAGAGCGAGCTGTTCTTTCAGAAACAACTTTATCTTTCCTAAAGCAGCCGGGGAAATTAGGTGACCATGCACGTGTCCGTGGAGAGTGTACGACCATCTCTGATTCGATATCGTATACTATATGACTTTAGTCTTGAGATGGGATACGCTCGTTTTTCACGCCTCCGAAACCTGAAAAAACTTCGGGTGGGCAAGATGCCCGGGGGCCCTGACCGGTCCCTATGCCCGAGTGAGAGAGAGAGAGGGAGGGAGGGAGGGAGGGAGGGAGGGAGAGGAGGAGAGGGAGGGAGGGAGGAGACGCGGGATGGTTGGAGAAACGATGAGCAGAGATGAAGAGTTGTTTTTGGAATCATCTTAGGCAACCAGTCTTTGCTGGATGCATATGCCAGATATGCCTGTGGAGATGGCAGGGACTACTTCGTGACGGACCCAGCCAGAAGCCTGAGTGCAGAACTGGCACCTCTGGACAACGGATGCATTAACATGCCACTCAGCAGCTTGCGCTTTGTTCGGGGCACAGCTTTGAAAGCTACAGAGAGCCCAGCTGAATGGTCCGTTACCCTTGGCTGCTGCTTGTCGGGTGCAGCTGAGGCAAACGCGTTGGAAGACGATCAGGTTGACGTTCGCCTCGAACGCCAGCTATGGCCAGTTCCTGCACAGGCAGCAATCATGGCTGGGTAAGGCGGTTCGCGGTGGTGTGGGGCGCTTGGGCTTTGGGCGGTTGGGTAAGGCGGGTAAGGCTTGGGGTTTGGTCTTGACTGCGTTTGTTCGACCTGGGCGCACCCGCTCCTGGTCAGGGACTGCCCGGAGAGCTGCCAGCAGGAGAATTTCTGGCACCAGCTGCCCACGCAAGTCGTGGACCAGGACATGCTCCCTGGCTTGGCTTCATGGTCTTGAGGTATCTTTTTGCTTATGTAATGTTATGCAGCTATATTGTAACCTCTTCGCATCGTACATCTCCGCCCGGTCGAAGGAAGGACGGGCAGCAGAGGAAGGGGGCAGGCTTGGACAACTTGAGAACCTGTGTCGCATTGTAGAATTATAGCCAGTAAAAGACATGAAAGTGCACGACTGTCCTCGTGGTCGATCAATGAATTAACAGGCAGGTGGGGGAGTGACGGTGGCGGGGGTCGAGGCGAACTATGCTTTATACTGAGTACTAGACACTGTACTCGATACCCGTGCTGTATCACAGTACTATGCCATGCTTCAAAGGCTACTTGCGTGAGTTGATTGCAGATTATACTGGTACTCGTACACTTCATCAACATCTTGTGATGGACTCTGACCGTTGCACCCTGAGTTGCGCAACCTCAGAAGCAACTAGCTACAGCCTGAACCTGAACCCTTAAGCCATCTTGCGCCCGAACGCCAAAATCCAGGGCCGAAAGAGACGTGCCCATGGCTGAAGGCTGGTGCTCCCAACCATCCGTGAGCCCCCCCAGCTGCGCTGCTGCAGCTCAGGGCTTTGAGCTTTAAAGTTTGGGGTTTCAGCTTTTGCCAGTGGGTCTGGGCTGCAATCCTTGGATACAGCCCGGGCATCCCAGTCGTAGGATCTCCGTTGCAGCCTCGAAGACCTGCAGAAACTCTTACCCTACCTGAGCTCGTGCAATAAAGGACTTATGCCGCTTCGAAAACTTGCCCCAAAACGGGGGCCCTGAACACCGGCTTTGGTTCAGAGATATGTTCAGATGTGTTTTGGGTGTGGATGTGGACACTTCTTGCCGATGCTCTTGTGCACGCCTTCGTTTGCGGGCGGGCCGGCATGAGGCAACTTTGGGCTGCGAAAGCTGCTAGCCAAAATGGAAAAATACCCAAGAGCCTGTCCACGACCGAGGATGGGGTACCAGCACTCGCTCATCGACTTCCTACCACAAGCTTGGACGGTGCTGGAGCTGTTGCGCAATTCCTCCACGATCCTAAGTCTGACTGAAAGCTTCTTTGGGATGATTCGCCGAACATTTTGGTTGTCTTTGTTTTCTCAGACATCGGACCGGGGCTTGCGATCTGGAGAGCCGAAAGGTCGGAAACTCCTTCGTAGAGCTGGGGAGCTGTGAAACGTTTGTCCAATTCCGACCGGGGCCCACTTTGATCGGCACGTGCTTCCCAGCTGAATTGAGTCGGCAATCGACCAACACAATCACAAACGGAACGGCATGCGCACATTGTCGACAGCTATGACCTCCCACGTACGGCGGCACCGTGAAAAGATTGAACCAGTTCTTCTGAGCCTCGAGGTAGAGACTCAGGAGCCGCAAGCGTAATCTGCATCCTAACCCCTGATCCCCAGCCTCCACCTTCAACCCCAAACGAAAAACTGAGTCCCAAGTTACTCTAATCTTTCAAAATTTTGACAACCCAAAGGCCCTCCATGGCAACATATCCCAATACCCGATCCGGACCGATACCCTACAGTAGACCCGTCAATCTGGAGGGACGTCGTTTGCACTGGCCAAATGCACTCAAAAAAGAGATTGTGACTAAACCCTTGACCCGGAACATCCCGGAAGCCATGAGGTTCCGTGGAATGCTGGGAAGCACTACTGTAACTCCCATTTCTTGAAACCCCTAAATGTAGATGATGAGCTTCGATGACATGCGAGGAAGCTGGTGGTCCACACTTCGCTTCAGAGCCAGCTGCTGGCCAGCCTGGGCTTTCCCCGAGTGCCGTGGCAGAATCAGACCAAAAGTGCCCAGGAGTCGAATGCACTCTGCTAGCTGCTAGCAGCTGCTCGTGCTTTTTCCTAGGAGCAGATCCTGGAAGTTCCCCTCACGGATGAGCGACCTGCGGTGCTGCTGTGCGCAAAAAGCGGCCGAACCCTGCATCTGTGGCGCGTCGGCTCTGGCGACTCTGAACCACTGCCGAACCATCCGTACCAGGACGGTGGCTCTCCAGCACATTTGGTTCCAACTCGGGTTGCTTCGGAGTTCAGAGCCATTGAATTCGAAGCAGTGGACACACCTGAAATTGTTGGCTGAAGTTCCGAAACCCTCTAGACCCTGATCCGAAACTCAAACCTTAACCCCAGAACCCCTAAGCATGCCCACCCTGACACCCTAGGCTGCACACCAACTGCACTAGCTCTACTTTTCAAACCTATGCATCCCACTTGAAGCAGAATTGCAAGGTCGGGCCGACGGTGACCTTTGGCACCGGCTCATCGATATCCAGGCTGACCCAACCAACACCCCGAACATGAGTTCCGTGAAAAGCACAAGCTCATCTTGCACATGTGAAGCACTTTTCCAGGTGGGCCCGGAAATCTCAAACGCTGTCGCAGAGTACAACGGCTTCGTGGCAGCTGGTCTCAAAGGCTTCACGTTCTATGCGCAGCTTGAGCCCTGGAGATTACACAAACTACACAGCCTGGGTATGGCTTGGAAAGATGTTGGGCTGTAGAGGCTGCACAGGGTTGTCACCCAGACATGCTGCATGCATGTGCACGCCCTGAGCGCGAGTCTGCTAGAGGCCACATATCGCTTGAAAGCTTGATCTCGACGGGCCGGGCGGTTTCCGTCTCTGTTCTGGTGTGTTTCGGGTGGACAAGGCCGAAGGTGAAGAGGGGTTGTCGAACTGTCAGAACCGAGAAAATGCATTCAACCGCATCAGTTTTCCAGCCGTGGCATCTAGGCAGAGCCCTTCGCGCCGCGCTTGGTGCTTTTCCTGCAGCGCTGCACTGACCACCGCACCCTCGAGAACGAGCAGGCGGCACTGGCTGCCATCAGCAGCGCGCCCTGGCCGTGCCGAGTTGTTTTGAGACATGCAACCGTAGGCTCAAACAGCCCCGGTATCTTTGGATCACGATGAATCTTGTAGGCAGCCGCACTTAGGCCCTGATCAAGTCCAATCGGACGGAGGAACTGGTGTCGATGTGCGCAGGCAGGACCTCTCAGAAAAAGGTTAGACATGCATAAGAGCCCCTGTGAAACCGAGCAAGATCCCATCATGAGGAGCGCTTAAACGAGAGGCAACGGGGTACACAGCCCCTCCTGGCAACATCTCGCAACTCTGACATCCTGGCAGGCCGTGAGGACTTCTTGGAGCAGGTCTGGAAGGCCCAGCAGCCTCGAAGAGGGGGGGGAGCGACCTGGGCGCTTTTTGCCCGCTTTTCTGCACGCGCAAGCTTTAGAGCTTTGAAGCAGCGGACCCTGCATAGGGGGGCCCGCATGCCGACGGAGGCAAGAGCTTCCTGTCGCTGCAAGGACATTCCAAACTCCAGTACAACAGACTTCTGACACCATGCAACCGTGCCAAACCCATCTGACTACATGTTCAATCCTGTGTGGCGAACACGCCGTGGGGCCAGCAGTCAGCAGGTTCGACAGGCGCGGCTCATCGTGGGGGCACATGGAGGGGCCATGGCCAACATGGTCCTGGCACGGCCTGACGCAGGCCGAGATGCGCTGCAAGGGGCAGACACCCAGAGCCCTGAGCCCAACACCGGACTGGTAGGCATCATCGAGGTGGTTGGCGATGCCGCAGCCGAGAAAGGCTTTGAAGGAGCCATGCAAATGGCCCCAAGCCCGAATGTCAGCTTCGCGCGGCTTCATCGCTTAATCTTGCTGCATCCAGCTTGGAGCCTGCACGAGAGGACTTTGGCCACCCTACAAGAGATCCTTGACGGCGCACACTTTCAGAGAGGTTTCCCAGGGCCTCGCCAAGCAAATTCGGGGTGGCTGGGCGGCCTGCCGAGGCAACTTCTACGGCGGACTTGGGGCCGCCTTCCCCTTCTACCGAGCTTCTTGGAAGCCAAATTCCTGGAGAAGAGGAAGAGGAGAGCAGGAGGGCCTACTCACCTATCGGCTTGGTTGAGGTCTTGGGACTTTGCTGCCATCTCAGGTGGTTCTCTACGAGGCCGACCAACACGGCAGGCTGTGGATTCGCCTGGACGACTTGCAGACAGCTGTCGCCAACTTCCTGATCCGACTCGACTAGCGACTTGGCCCTGGTGATTCCTGGTGATCCTCAAAAGCTTGCATCGCAGGATGCAAGGAAACCTGCCTCGCCGATCCAGCAAGTATGTGTTTCGAATGTTTTCCTGCACGTGTCCGGAGCACTCTTGAGGCTATGGTGCGCCGTGCTCGCCCATTAGGCCTCCCAGAAGGCAGAGTTGAAGGTCGCTCCTGCAAAACAGCTCTTGGACAAATGTGCTTCTTCCTAGTCAGGGCAGCTGCGCGTGATGAGAGACGAGTCTGGACGATAGATCTGCTGGTCGACCATCCGGGACGCGGGATTGGACCTCAGGGTCCAACACTGCTTGTGTTCGTTGATATAATAAGGTTTTAGACAGCATTTCCGGGTTCGGGAAAGGAGGCGTACGCCACGTGGGAAGTGGTGATGGATGGTCCGTTCACCAAGGACACCACCCAAAAGGCCCCACCTCAGCAAAGAGCACAAGACGGCTAGGTGAAGCATCTCAAGGTTCGGAACTGCAGCTGCCGCAGTAGACTCTGTAGAATTGCCATGGAAAGCGTAGGGCCGTCAATCACGCACAGAATTCTGAGGACGCTCCACGCGTCAGCGACGTCAGCGGACGAAAACCACGAGAGCGTCGTCACTTCCACGAATTCGCGAGACGCTCCACGCGCCAGCCCGGGTACCCGCCGAAAGCCACAAGAGAGTTCGCAATCCACGTCCCAAATTCGCAGGACGGCACAACGAGAGCGATTCCACACGCATGATCCCTGTAAGGGGTTCGCCGGCGAGCTTTAGAATTTGCAAAGCGCCACCACGAAAGCGACTCGATACGCACAATCCCTGCAAAGGGTTGGCAAACTACGTTGAAAAAATCGCACATATTCGCACCATGCCACAATGGGAGTCCGACGAGCATGAAACCCGCAGAGAATGCGCTTCGACGATTATCGAGAAACCCTACCCCGCCTTTAGAAATCAGAATATAGAAGGCGTTAGTGAGCGATGTACGTGCTGTGGTGTGGTGTAGGCGAGCGATGTAAGTGCTGTGGTGTGGTGCATGTGAGCTGTGCGTTGGGGTGGAATTAAATGAACTACTCTATAGATTCTAGAAAACGCTCTAAATATTGCCGGAGGGCCCGCGTGGGGCAAATGACGGTTTCGGAGGGCAGAAGAGGGTTTCGGAGGGCGAAATGGGGGGTTGGGCATGCATTGGGATGGAAATAAACTACTCTATAGACTATAGAAAACGCTCCAAACACTGCCGGAGGGCCCGCGTGGAAAGGGGGGTTGGGCATGCATTGGGATGGAATTAAATTACTCTATAGACTCTAGAAAACGCTCTAAATACTGCCGGAGGGCCCGCGTGGGGCACATGAGGGTTTCGGAGGGCGAAAGGGGGGTTGGGCACTCTATAGACTCTAGAAAACGCTCTAAATACTGCCGGAGGGCCCGCGTGAGGCAAATGAGGGTTTCGGAGGGCGAAAGGGGGGTTGGGCACTCTATAGACTCTAGAAAACGCTCTAAATACTGCCGGAGGGCCCGCGTGGGGCAAATGAGGGTTTCGGAGGGCAGATGACGGGGTTGGGCATGGAGGGTGTGACAGCGTGTTCGAGTAGCCGAGTAGCCAGCGAAACCGGAAGCGAGTGAGACGTTCTGCTTGTGATTCTAGCCACCGGACTGGCTTGAGCTTGTGCATTGGACCATGGCACTTGTTTGCCGACAAGCTATTGCTCAAGCTTCATCGCAGGACTGCGCTGTAGAGTGGAGCAAACACCGCTGGGGTATGCCTAAGGTGAAGTGACAGTTTGTGAGCTTATCGACCATTGCCGTGCCTTTCAGAACCGTTCGGAAACACACGCAACATGAGCGCCTGGCAGACGATCCTTGATGTTGGACTTGGCCTCTGGTTGCAAGCGGAAATTCCTATTGTGGTGTCCTGGGCACATGTGCTGAGGCCAAAGCTTCCTGGGCGCCTGCTACGAGGCCTCCAAACAGCTCCATGTCAGTGAGTGGCTCATGAGATGTGAGCCGAGCAAAGGTCCATGTTTCCGACAGCCTCAATTTCGCGCAGGCCGCTGGCAAAGCCTTAGATTGTTTCTCGGTAGGTTGAGTGCCAGGGCGGGTCATGCGGAAACTGGTCCAAAAAGAGCTTTGTGCGTGCGGGGAAAGGTGCCGGAGCTTCCGGTTGATGACCCTGGCCGAGCTTGTCCTCTGCCTTGGCGGCGATGCTGAGATCGGGGTCTGTCTTTGGGTTCCGTCCGGCAGTAGTTCAACAGGGAGACTCTGGCAAGACGCAGGTTGAGGACCGCTCCCGTCGACTCCTTGGATGTCCTCCCTCCTGAGTAGCTTGGCCACAAGTTCGCTGAACTATGAAAGTGTTGGCGTGCATATTGGAAAAGGCTCTTGATAATCATGTTCGCCGAATGTAGCACATCACCAGATATCACAAGAATATGTGGCACCGTCGTTTCGTCAAAGCTTGTCACACTCGGTGACATAATCGGAGCCCTTCCAAAACTAGCAGGCTGATGTCGCAAGTCTCAGTGCACCTCCCTGCTACTTGGTCGCAATGTGACCTCGGCCCGGGGCTGCTTGGTGGCGTTTCATCGAGCCACTTCGTATTTGCACCCCGAGGTGTGGCACCTCAGCCAAGTTCGAGCCACTTGCAAGGAGTTTTCGAGTCTGAAGGCGCCGAGACTGAACACGGACATAAGTATTTGCTTCATCCACTCCAATAATCATGTTTCGCCTGCGTTGTTCTCGGGACTTTTGCAGAGTCTGCACAAAGGCGCTGCCGCAAGCAGAGCTGACGGCAGGCCCGCAGCCCGGCGCAGAGCAAGGCAAAAAGAGGAAGAGAAGCCGAAAGAGGGCCTTCGGATGTCTCGGAAACACATACCTGTATACCGGAAACTACGCCTGGGATCTGCTGGGCTATTGGAACTTGAGAAGATAGAACGGTGACCACTTCTTTGGCGATGCTGTCCGCGCTGGCCACATCCCGCGGCAAGATGTTCTGACTTGACTCGTGACGGAGCTGTGTGAGACTAGAGCTGGTGATAAAGTCTGGCATTGGACATCATTGGACAGTCTGTGGAATGCTGGGGCAAGGCTGGTCAGCAGACAATTGCGAGAGCATGCTGTCAGCGGCCAGTGCGAGCGCAGCAGCCATCACAGAGCGCCCTGCAAGACCCCTCGACGCGTCAACTCGGGAGAAAATGCGCATGGTCTTTGAGCATCTTGAAGATGTGTGCCTGGACATATCTGGCAGTCTTCAGTGCGAACGGACTGCGATGCCTAGTCAAGTTCTATGGTGTCACGATAAGAGCTATGAGCGTGGCCTTGTATAGGTCAAGAGTGGAGGCACGCTACGCGTTCTCCATCTCTAGGTGTAGGCCTGTGGGCATGCTACGCATACCACAGTGCCGAACCACTTTATATCATATGCCGCCCATGCAACTTTGGCTCAAGACTGAGCACAAGCTCTAGAAAGCATTGCCGATAGCTAAAAGTAGCTTTCGTCTTCTGTGACCTTTCCGAGGAACAAAGCCATCCCGAGCACAGACGATCCATCGCTGGCCGCGAAGGTGGAAAACAAGCAAGCTCTGGATCTGCCTGCCCTGGGAGTAGAGCTTACACGTGGGAGTGAAGGAGAGAACACATCGAGTCTGTAGAGGGCAACCATACCGTTATCCAACATAGCTCGGTGGGGTGAACGACAAGGAACATCATCAAGAATATATCCCCACGCAGGTTATCAGCCGTAGGCTCTGCCTACCTACAAGAAAGACTTCCTGATCTACCACGACCACAATGAACTCGGGATCGAGTCAGGATACGACAATGATTTTCGGTGCCGACGTGGCAGCGCCAGCAATCGGCGATTCGACTGCCGACGATACTGTGGTGATGTGCAATCCGTTGATAGTTCCGCTGAAGATGACAAAGGTCAATCTTCTGCGCTTGTCATTGCAAAGGCAGTTCCCAAAGCGAAAGCGAAAAGCACCCCAAGGGCATCCACGACTTCGCGTCCCACATCTTCAGGATCGAGGACGGGCAAGGCTACCGATCGACGTTCCGACACATCTGGTTTTCAGGTGCCAAGGACTCCGTCGAGGGCAAAGGACAAAGGAGTGAGAACCATGGAGAAAGCGTCAAGACCATCGTCTTCTAGAAGCTCCTCAGCACGATCTAGGACATCAACAGCAAGGGCGCGGGAGAGATCCATGACATGGAAGAAAATGGTCACGAACCATCCCCATGACCCTGATGACGCGGATATGACCCTCGATACCATACCGGCACGAGGTGATGCATCATCGGTGGCTACCCCGGCTATAGCTGATGATCCGAATCTCTATCAGGAAATGACGGTGCGAAAGCAGATCGAAGCCTCGAACCTAGCACAGCAGACGTACTACCGAAGCGAAGTGCAAGAATTCGAGAGCGTCGTGCAGAACCTGGTAGAAAAGGTCAGAGAGATGCAGCAAGAAGATGAAGGATCTGGAATTCGCATCGAAGAATTGGAACGACAACGTGACCACGCATGTTTGGCCATGCGGCATATCAACAATGTCAATCAGGAGATGAAGCGTGATTATGAAGCAGCGTTGTTTTGCATGGATGAACAGAACTCAGCTCAGCAACGTCAAGGGCATGCCATTGCCGAGGAGTTGGCCCAACAACTACATGTGTTTCGCACTGAAGCAGCTGCAAACTTTGTGCAGTTGGAAGCACGAGCCCAAAATGATGGAGTACTCACGGCACGCGAGTATGAGCATCTGACACAGGAACTTCACGAACAAGCCAGGGAGAACTTGTTCCTCAGATCGAGCACGGCTAGCTCAGAGCAAGCCATGCATGCTATGCAAGAGCGATTCATTCTCGCTAGGAATCAGGAATTGCGAGTCATGAACGAGATCCAAGGATTAGCTGGTAATCAAGCAGCCATGGATCATGAACGGCATCGACTTCGCGAACGTCTTGGTGAAGAGGAAGAATTTCGCA